TAAAATGTAGTTCATGGATTTTTCTTGGGCCACTTGACAGGACTTTGTATACAACATGTATATAACACCCTTAATAAGTACTTCTCTATATAATTGCATATACTTAAATGCACATACATGAAGAGTCCAAATGAAAGATTGTTCTCGGTGTCTAAAACCCTTTTGATATTAACCTCGTTATGGGAATCTTACTAAGATTTATTTATTTGAGAGAGAGCGTGAGTGTGCATGTGGGAGAGAGGGGCAGAGGGAGAGTCCTAAGCAGACTCCACGCTAAACAGCAGGGCTCAGTCTCACAACCCTGAGATCACAACCTGAGCCAAAACCAAGAGTCAGATGCTTGACTGACTGCGCCACCCAGGCACCCCTTAAAGTTTATTTTATTTTATTTTTTTGGTAATCTCTACACCCAACGTGGGGCTCAAACTCAGAACCCCGAGATCAAGAGGGGAATCTTTCTAAAATGCATTTTATACTTTCCAACTTTTACATAGGGTATATTGAACATATAAGCCAACTTTTTCTTGATTACTCAAGGCTATCGGCAACATCAATTATTGCTCAGTGTTGTCACATAATGGAGCCTTCAAGGGCTGTCGAGATGTGTGAAGCTATCTGATCCTACAGTAAATGGCTAAAAATAGCCATTCTTCCTAGGTTTCCTATAACAGGCTTTTTTCTTGTTATTACAGTCATCTACCCCTCACCTTTTTTAAGCTACTGTCAGTATATTTGACTCAAGGAACCCCTTTTTGTTCATTTTCCACTTCTCAATCATTATTTCCGGTCTGCTCTAGCCCAGAAAGGCCGGTTATCACTTGTTAATGTAAATAACAAGGTTCCACACAGAAACCTGTCCTACAATATGAACTACATGAGTGGTATGAAGTTTGTTAGCTTCTTAAAGTTATAAACAGTATGAGAAAGGAGTAGGAAGAGATCCTGAAAATTACTCAATTTAGTCCTTTTAATTTATACGTGAGAGAACTGCTGTTGTGACTTGCCCACAGTCACACAGTTGCTCAGTGTCCCAGTCAGATTAGAACTCAGGCTTAGCTTCCAATCTGTATCCCACCATAATTGGAGTTGCAAGTAGGTGCTGTTATTTTGCGGGTATGCGTATATTTCAAAACATAATAGTATTGACAGATGTAATGTAATGCTTATAGATTTGTGTCCACATGCTGATAGACACACACAGAGGCATTGACTATTCAGCACTAACACTGATTATATGCACTGTTACAACATCCACTAGGTGAGAGATCTGGGGAGAGAGAAAAGAGGGAAAAAGTGCCAATTCAGAAGAAGAAATTGATGAAAGGAAACCTAACCTAATTAGCCCGACTTTCTCCAGAACTACCATAAAGAGAGCAGCCCTAACTGTGGGCAGTTTTCAGCTTTACATATCGCTATGCAAATAGTGATTATAATGGCACATTCTTTTAGGATCTTTGCTGTATGTTTCATCCAGGAAAATTTTCTCTACACTTTCTCCTGGTTCACAAATTCTCTGTTATGTCTACTCGGCTCTTTAACATAACCATTGAGCTTTTTTATTTCACTGAGAGTATCTTCCATTTATAGAAATTCTGTTTTTCTCCTTTAAATGTCTCCTGTCTTTTTGAAAGTATCTTATTCCCTTTTTATGTGTTCAGTTCTTTATTTTTTTAGTAATTTTAAATCTACTTATTTTATAGTCTGTGTTCAGTAATTCCGTTACTTGAAGTTCTTGGGCTGTCTTGTTCTGCTTTTGGTGTGTCTGCAGATTCTGGCTAAGTGATCTTCTTGTGTATTTTGTAACTTTGGATTATGAAGTCGTGTTTGACAGGGCTTTATTAATGGGAATCTTGTGGCTGGATTGAGAACCAGTGTCTCCAAAGAGCTTTTTACATTGGCTTTTGCCAGGTGCTGCAGGTCTAAGCCATTTTTCATGTTTATCTCTTAGCTTGGAGGCTCCTAGACCAGGGAGTTAGTAAATTTGTCCCTCAAGCCTGCCTGAGAGTAAACTTGTGATTAATTCTTAGGGAAAACTTTTGTGTTTTGTTTTAACACAAAGTCTGGGCTGAGACTTTACTAAGATAGAAACCTTATAGGAAGGAATAGAGGTTGTAACCGTGGAGCTAGGGCTGTGCCCAAGGCTGTGAATGTGAGTGACTCAGAATGGGGCAGGAAAGGCATCTTTGTACCTCTTTCTGGCTTCCTTTCTTCTGCCACCAAGATGTCTCTGCTGTCTGATTGCAGTTCTTTATACCAGTTAAGGCTGAGATCTGTACACATCCAAGCTCATATTGTCTGTCTCTGTCACAGACACAGATCAAGTGATTGAGCTCTTTCAAAATTTCCCCTTAGTTGTGCAAGAATGTACATTCTCACACATTGCCTTTATTTTTTTAATTGAAGTATAAATGATATACAATATTAGTTTCAGGTGTACAAGAGTGATTTGATGTTTCTATACGTTATGAAATGATCACCACAATAAGTATAATTACCATCTGTCACCATACAAAATTATTACAATATTATTGACTATATACCCTATGCTGTACTTTACCTCTTGTGACTTACTCATTTTAAAACTGAAAGTTTGTGTCTCTTAATCCCCTTTGTCTATTTCACCCATCCCCCCCACCGCAACCACCATATTGTTCTCTGTATCTATGACTCTTTGTTTATTCATTTGTTTTGTTTTTTAGTTTCCACATGTAAGTGAAATCATACTGTATTTGTCTTTCTCTGTCTTTACCTACCATAATACCTTCTAGGTCTATCCATGAAATGGTAAAATTTCATTCTTTTTTATGACTGAGTAATTTTCCATTGGGTATATATACACCACTTCTTTATCCATTCATCAGTTGATGGACAGTTACATTGCTTCCCTATCTTGGCTATCATAAATAATGCTACAGTGAACATAGAGATGTATGTATCTTTTCAAATTCATATTTTCCTTTTCTTCAGATAAATACTCAGCAGTGGAATTGTTGGATGGTATGGTAGTTTTATTTTTAATTTTTTGAGGAATCTCCATACTGTTTCCCATAGTGGCTGTACCATCTTATATTCCCACCAACAGTGCACGAGGGTTCTCTTTTCTCCACATCCTCACCAATGCTTGCTTTTTCTTGTCTTCTTTCATATTGGCTATTCTGACAGGTGTGAGGTAGTATCTTATTATGGTTATGATTTACATTTCCCATAAGATTAGTGATGTTGAGCATCTTGTCTTGTGCCTGTTGGTCATCTGTATATCTTCTTTGGAAAAATGTCTATTCAGGTCCTCTACCTGTTTTTTAATTGGTACGTTTGTGGGTTTTTTGGTGTTGTATGAATTCTTTATATATTTTAGATATTAACCCTTTATCAGATATATCATTTGGAAATCTTCTCCCATTCAGTAGCTTACCTTTTCATTTGTTGATGATTACCTTCACCAACACAAAAGCTTTTTAGTTTGATATAGTTCCATGCACCTGAGAAGACAGATCCAAATATATATACAGCTAAGACCAATGTCCAGGAATTTACTGTTTATGTTTTCTTTTAAGAGTTTTATGGTTTCAGGTCTTACACTTAGGTCTTTAATCCATTTGAATTTCTTTTTATATATGGTGTACAAGTGGTCCAGTTTCATCCTTTTCCATGAGGTTGTCCTATTTTCCCATCACCACTTATTATAGAGACTGTCTTTTCCCCCATTGTATATAATTGTCTCCTTTGTCATGGATTAATGGACCATCTAAGAATGGGTTTATTTCTGGGCCCTCTATTCTGTTCCAGTAATCTATTTTTATGCCAATACTATATTGTTTAGATTACTGCAATTTTGAAGTATAGTTTAAAATCTGGGAGCATGATTCCTCCAACTTTGTTACTCTTTTTCAAGATTGCTTTGGCTATTTGGAGTCCTTTGTGGTTCCATACAAAGATTAGGATTATTTGTTCTAGGTGTTTGAAAAATGCTGTTGATATTTTGATAGGGATTGCATTGAATCTGTAGATTGCTTTGGGTAGTATGGACATTTTAACAATATTAACTCCCAGTCCATGAGCATGGTGTATCTTTCCATTTATTTGTGTCATCTTCTACATCTTTCATCAGTGTCTTAATAGTTTTCGGAGTACAGATCTTTCCTTGGGTACATTTATTCCTAGGTATGTTTTGTTTGTTTGTTTTGATGCAATTGTAAATGGGATAGTTTTCTTATATTTTCTTTCTGATATTTCATTATTACAAAAACACAACCAGTTTCTCTATATTAATTTAGTATCCTGCAACTGAATTTGTTTTCTAATAGTTTTTTGGTGGAGTCTTTAGGGTCTTCTATATATAGTATCCTGTCATCTACAAATAGTGACAGTTTTACTTCTTCCTTACCAATTTGGATACCTTTTATTTCTTTTCTTGTCCAGTTGCTATGACTAGGACTTCTAGTACTGTGTTGAATAAAAGTGGCAAGAGTGGGCATTCTTGTTTGTTCCTGATCTTAGGAACAAACAAAGCTAAAAGCTTTTCCGCTGGGCGCCTGGGTGGCTCAGATGGTTAAGCGTCTGCCTTCGGCTCAGGTCATGATCTCAGGGTCCTGGGATCGAGTTCCGCATCGGGCTTCCTGCTCCTTGGGAGCCTGCTTCTCCCTCTGCCTCTCTCTCTCTCTCTCTCTGTCTCTCATGAATAAATAAATAAAATCTTTTAAATAAATAAATAAATATATATATATATTATAATATATATTTTATATATATAAATATATTAATAATAATAATATATTATTATATATATATATATATATATATATAAAAGCTTTTCCCCTAAGATCAGGGGAACATCAGTATGATGTTAGCTGTGGGTTTGTCCTATATAGCCTTTATTACGTTGAAGTACATTCCCTCTATACCCATTTTGTTGTGAGTTTTTATCATAAATGGATGTTTAATTTTGTCAAATACTTTTTTTTTTAAACACTTGTGACATTAAGAATTTATTTAGGTTGGTTATAGGACCAGGCCAAGGAAAGGTCTGAAATATCTAAGAGTCATTTGTCTGGAGAAAAGTGTTTTCTTAAGACTTGGAGGCAGCTAGTTATTCATCACTTTGTGCTTAAAAGCATTCCTCAGTGAACTTCTTCCTTATAGCCTTTAGAATAAAGCACAGGATCTGGGCTCCCGGAAGGGGTTGCTTCCAGCTGGAACACCTACCAGCAAGGCATCCTTGCAGGCATTCTGCAGGCAGTACTGTTGAAACTCTGCAGCTGCCTGCGAGACCTTGATCCTCTCCACGCCAGCCTCCAGCTCGAGCTGCTCCACCAGGCACTGCAGGGGGTTCACGCTGGCCCCAGAAGACATGGCGGTGGCGCTGGGCTCCGAAGGCCATCAAATACTTTTTTTGTTTTTTTTGAAATGATCATATGATTATTGTCCTTCATTTTGTTAATGTGCTTTATCACGTTGATTATTTTTGTAGATATTAAACCATCCTTATATCCTTGGAATAAATCACATTTCATTGTGGTGTATGACCATTAAATATATCATTGAATTTGGCTTGCTAACATTTTGTTGAGAATTTTTGAATCTATGTTCAGGAAGGATATCGTCTTTTAATCTTTTTTTTTTTTTTTTGGTAGTGTCTTTGTCTAGATTTAGTACTGAGGTAATCCTGGACTCTTAAAATGAATTTGGAAGCATTCCTTCCTCTTCAACTTTTTGGAATAGTTTGAAAAGGATAGGTGTTAACTCTTCTTTAAATGTTCTTTAGAGTTCACCCATGAAGCCGTCTGGTCCTGGACTTTGTTTGTTGGGAGTTTTTTGATTGCTGATTCAATATCATTATTTATAATTGGTCTGTTCAGATGTTCTGTTTCTTCCTGATTCAGTCTTAGAAGGTTGTATGTTTCTAGGAATTTATCCACTTCCTATAGGTTGTTCAATCTGTAGGCATATAATTGTAGTAGTCTGTTATAATCCTTTGTATTTCTGTGATATAAATTGTAACCTCTCTTTCATTTCTGACTTTGAGTCCTTTTTTTTCTTTTCTGGATAAGTTTCACTAAAGGTTTATTAATTTTTTTTATCTTTTCAAAGAACCAGCTTTTAGTTTTATTGAAGTTTTCTGCTATTTTATTTTTAGTCTCTATTGCTTCTGTTTCCATTCTGATCTTTATTATTTCCTTCCTTCTACTAACTTTGGGCTTTGTTCTAGTTCCGTGAGGTGTATGGTTAGATTGTTCATTTGAGATTTTTCTGGTTTCTTGAGGTAGGCCTATATATAAGCATCCCTCTTAGAACTTTTGCTTGTGCTGCTTTTCATAAATTTTGGAATGTTGCGGGCGCCTGGGTGGCTCAGTTGATTAAGCGACTGCCTTCGGCTCAGGTCATGATCCTGAAGTCCTAGGATCGAGTCCCATGTCTGACTCCCTGCTCGGTGGGGAGTCTGCTTCTCCCTCTGACCCTTTCCCCTCTCATGCTCTCTCTCACTCTCTCTCTCTCTCCAATAAATAAATAAAATCTTTAAAAAAAAATTTTTTTGGAATGTTGTAATCCCATTTTCATTTGTCTGAAGATTTTTGTTTGTTTTCCTCTTTAATTTCTTCATTGACCCATTGGTTGTTTAGTAGCATGTTGTTTAGCCTTCACATGTTTGCATTTTTTCCAGTTTTTTTTTTCTTGAAACTGATTTCTAGTTTCGTACTGTTATGGTTGGAAAAGATGGTTGATATAATTTCAGTCTTCTTAAATTTATTGAGATTTGTTTTGTGGCTTAATGTAATCTAACCTAGAGAACGTTCCACATGCACTGAAAAGAATGTGTATTCTGTTTGTGGGTGGAATGTTCTGTGTGTATATCTGGTAAGTCCATCTGATCTAATGTATTGTTTAAGGCCACTGTTTTCTCATGGATTTTCTGCCTGGATGATCTATCCATTGATATAAGTGGGTTGTTAAAGTCCCCTACTATTACTGTATTACTGTCAATTGTTCCCTTTATGTCTGTTAATGTTTGCCTTATATATAGGCACTTCTATGCTGGATACATATATATTTACAATTGTTACGTTCACTTATTGGATTGACCCACTTATCATTATGTAATGCCCTTCTTTGTCTTTTCTTACAGTCTTTGTTTTCAAGTCTGTTTTGTCTGGTATAAGTATTACTTTCCCAGCTTTCTTTTTGTTTTCATTTGTGTGGAATATCTTTTTCCATCCCTGCATTTTCAGTCTGTATGTTTCTATAGGTCTGAAGTGAGTCTCTTGTAGGCAACATATATATGAGTCTTGTTTTTTAATTCATTCAGTTATCCTTTGTCTTTTGGTTGGAGTATTTAGTTCATTTACATTTAAAGTAATTATGGGTAGGTATGTTCTTATTGCCATTATGTTAATTGTTTTCTGTTTGTTTTTGTGGTTCTCTTTGTTCCTTCTTCTCTTGCTCTCTCCCTTTGTAATGACTTTCTTTAGTGTTATGTTTGGATTCCTTCCTCTTTATTTTTTGTGTATCTATTATAGGTTTTTGATTTGTGGTTATTATGAGGTTCATATATAACTATGTATTAGCAGTCTATGTTTAGTTGATGGTCACTTAATTCAAACACATGCTGAAAACACTACATTTTTACTCTCTCTCCACCATGTTTTATGCACTTGTCTTTGTATTTTACATCTTTTTGTTTTGTGTATTCCTTAAGTAATTATTGTAGATACAGTTGATTTTACTACTTTTATCTTTTCACCTTCATACAGCTTTATAAGAGGCTGATCCACCACCTTTACTATATGTTTGCTTTTACCAGTGATTTTGCTTTCATAATTTTCTTCCTTTTCTTTTATATTTAAAGAATTCCCTGTAAAATTTCTTGTAAGGCTAGCTTAGTGGTCATGAACTCCTTTAACTTTTTGTTTGGGAAACTTTTTTATCTCCTTCAATTGTGAATGAAAACCTTGCCAGGTAGAATATTTTAGGTTGTAGGGTTTTTCCTTTCAGCACTTCCAAAGTATCCTGCCAAGTATCTCTTATGACCTGCAAAGTTTCTGTGGAAAAGTCAGCTGATAGTTTTATGGGGGCTCCCTTGTACATAATGAGTTGCTTTTCTCTTGCTGCTTTTAAGATTCTCTCCTTATCTTTATTTTTTTTTTTTAAGATTTTATTTCTTATTCATTTGACAGAGAGAGACACAGCGAGAGAGGGAACACAAGCAGGGGGAGTGGGAGAGGGAGAGAAGCAGGCTTCCTGCCGAGCAGGGAGCCCGATGCAGAGCTCGATCCCAGGACCCTGGGATCATGACCTGAGCCAAAGGCAGATGCTTAATGACTGAGCCACCCAGGCACCCCTCTCCTTATCTTTAATTTTTAACATTTTAATTATTATGTGTCTTTTAATTATTATGAGGACCTCTTTGGGGTCCTTTCTCTGTGCCTCCTAGACCTGGATATCTGTTTCTTCCCCAAGTGAGGAAGTTTTCAGCTATTATTTCTTTAAATAAGATTTCTGCCCCTTTCTCTCTGTCCCCACAAAGGACCCCTATATTGCAAGTGTTAGTCCACTTGATGTTGTCCTGTAGGTCCCTTAAACGATTCTCATTTTTTAGAATCCTTTTTTTTTTCTTTTTACGGTTCAGCATGGGTGATTACTATCCTATCTCCAGATCGCTGATCTGTTCTTCTGCATTCTCTAATCTGCTGTTGATTCTCTCTCATGTATTTTTCATTTCAGTTATTGTATTCTTCAGCTCTGATTGGTTCTTTTTTATATTTTCTTTCTCTTTGTTGTAATTTTTACTATAGTCATCTATTCTTCTCCCAAGTTTGGTGAGCATCTTTATGACCTTTACTTATAAACTCTTTATCAGGTAGATAGCTTATCTTCATTTTATTCAGTTCTTTTTCTGAGGTTTTTGTTTTGTTCTTTCATTTGGAACATATTCTCTTGTCTCTTCATTTTGCCTGACTCTGTCTTTGTTTCTGAGCATTAAGGAGATCAGCTACATCTCCTGGTCTTAAAGGAGTGGTCTAATGTAGAAGGCATCCTGTGGGACCCAGATGCACAGTCCTCCCCTGGTCACCAGAACCAGGACCTCCAGGGGTGTCCCCTGTGTGGGCTGTATGCACCCTTCTGTTTTAGCTGGGATGTGACTGCTGTGGACTCACTGGTGGGTGGGGATGTCCAGCTAAGGCTACTGCAAGCATGCTCTGGTGCAGTCTAGTCCTAGTTATGGCTGACTGCAAGACCCAACTGTCGTGGGTATGCTGGGGGGCAGAGCTGCTCCCCAGCTTAAGAGCCACTTTGGAGGAGCCCCGGTCCCAGCTGAGGCCACTTGCCAGGTGTGGTGGGGTGAGAGCTACTTTGTGGGGGCACTGTTCCTGGATGAGGCTGCCTGTGGGTTTGGCTGGTTAGAACAGTTTTTTTTTTTTTTTTAAGATTTTATTTTTTTATTTGCAAGAGAGAGAATGAGAGACAGAGAGCATGAGAGGGAGGGGGGTCAGAGGGAGAAGCAGACTCCCCGCAGAGCAGGGAGCCCGATGTGGGACTCGATCCCAGGACTCCAGGATCATGACCTGAGCCGAAGGCAGTCGCTTAACCGACTGAGCCACCCAGGCGCCCTGGTTAGAACAGTTTTGATGGGAGCACCAGTCTTGGCTGAGCCACATGCCAGTTGTGGTGGAGTGGAAGCCACTTTGGGGATTTGCTGGTCCTGGCAGAGTCTGCCCACTGGGCATGGCAGAGTGGGAGCATTATGGAGGGAAACCTGCCAAGGCTGCCAGGTCCACAGGGAAACACAGGGGAAGGGTGAACAGTGCTGGCAAGGTAGGTAGAGAGTGTCAGAACTGGCTCTGGCCAGCAGTGGGCCAGCTAGTAGAAGGAGGGCAAGCAAGATGGTGCCTGCCAGTGCTTCCGTTCCTGGAGAAAATTCCTACAGATTCCTGTCTCTTGCACATGCCCCAAAACTCATCAGTGAAGCTCCTTCACATATGACCAGGTACTTTTCCATCTTCTGCCTCTGTACCCAGTCCCCAAGCAAGTCAGCTTGTGCATAGGCCCTTTAAGAGAAGAGTCTTGGTTTCCCATACCTATGGCTCTCTTGGAGGTAAGCCGCACTCATTTTCAAAGTTCCTGGAGTTAAGCTCTACTGATTCTCACAGCCAGACATCATGGGGGCTTATCTTCCCAGTGCAGTGCCCCAGGGCAGGGATGTCTGATGTTGATCTTGAACCGCTTAGTCCTCAAGGAGGATCTCCACAGCTGTGATGTTCCTCCTACTCGTGGGTCCCACATTTGGGGGTGGGTGTCTCAACAAGATCACATCTCTGCCCCTCCAGCCATTCTCAGTGTAGCTTTTTGTTTATATC